CCCAACAGGTGCAAGCAGTTCTGGTCTCGTTCCAGAACAACGCCATAGACGAGCTAGCTGCATCTGCCGACCGCATTTTAGAAATTACGAAACCCTCTACTACCGAGGTATTTTCAGTCAAAGAAAAACCTCAAACGACTCAGAATGATATAACCGAGTTATGTCACACACTCACACGTTATCTTAATCTTCGTACCGACCGTAAGAGATCGCGCACCCCACGTAGAAGCATTTCACGTAAGCGATCTGTCTCTAGACCACGAGTTTTCCAAAAATTGCAGAAAACGCTGCAATTTTCCAAACACGAAACCGAGTGACTCAAAAAAGAACTCAGGAAACTTCCAACCCGGCACGTGTTAACGCCAACCGTAGCCGGCGAACATAGCCGTCTGTTATACGTCACAGATGTGACAACGAGAGTTCGCTACCTCATCGACACTGGCGCAGAAGTTAGCGTTCTCCCAGCAAATCCTAACGACCGACTTCGCGAATCGACTCTAAACTTACAGGCGGCAAACGGAAAACCGATCGCTACGTATGGCAAAAGGTACGTTTACCTTAACGTGGGTTTACGCAAACCCATTCACTGGATCTTCGTTGTTGCAGATGTTTATATGCCAATCATTGGTATGGACCTTCTACAACACCATAATCTGACCATCGACACGCGCAAACGGAGGCCAGTAGACGGGAACACTAATTTATCCGTTTGCGTAACTTCTTTTACTGGTTGCAAATTATCCCCAGTCACAATTAGAAATATGATAGACCCACTCTGTCAGCCACTTCTCGATAAGTATCCTGGGATACAACAAACTCAACCGAGATTACCGTGTGTAACCAGCAACGTTACACATCACATCACGACTACAGGACCACCTGTATTTTCTAAAGCACGACGACTAGCTCCCGAAAAGCTAAGGTTAGCGAAAAACGAATTCGACCATATGATAGACTTAGGAATCATACGACCGTCAAGTAGCCCATATGCATCTCCGTTGCACATGGTCCCTAAAAAGGACAGCAACGATTGGCGTCCAACTGGTGACTATCGGCGATTGAACGCGAAAACCATTCCCGATCGTTACCCGTTGCCTCACATTCACGATTTGACAGCTACCTTGAAAGATACAACTGTCTTTTCGAAAATCGATTTGGTTAAAGCGTATAACCAAATCCCTATGGCTACTGACGACATACCGAAAACAGCTATCATAACTCCCTTCGAACTCTATGAATTTTTGCGAATGCCTTTCGGTCTAAGGAACGCTGCTCAAACATTCCAAAGATTCATAGACGACGTTTTTCGAGGTCTCAACTTCGTACATGCGTATGTTGATGACTGCCTAATCGCAAGTCCGGACAGAGAAACACATCTCAAGCATCTGGATCTTGTTTTCGAACGATTACAAAAACATGGCATTACTGTAAACGTTCAGAAATGCCAATTGGAACCGACTCTTTAGACTTTCGGGACACACTATCGATGCTCAAGGTATCCGACCCCTTAGAACCAAAGTGGCGGCCATTCTGGATTACCCAGAACCGACCACCGTCAAGCAATTACGCACGTTTAACGGCCTCGTAAGTTTCTATAGACGTTTCATACCGAAATGCGCATTACTTATGAAACCCCTGACCGACCAACTTCGTGGAAATGCGAAATCCATTAATTTGGACGACACCGCACGAAAAGCATTCTCCACAGTTAAGGAACTGATTGCTAAAGCAACAATGCTCGCACATCAGGACACCGAGCACCCATTAGTATCGCAGTAGACGCATCGGACTCGGCAATCGGAGGAGTCTTACAACAATGGGTTAACAACTCCTGGCAACCCTTGGCATTTTTCTCTAGAAGGTTGCTAGACACCGAATCGAGGTACAGCACATTCGGTAGGGATCTCCTAGCTATGTATTGTGCTGTACGGCATTTCCAACACTATATCGAAGGCCGTGAATTCACTCTTTTCACGGACCATAAACCGCTCACTTTCTCGTTAAGCTCTCCTTCTGACAAGTACTCTCCCGTGAGTCTCGACAACTGGACTACATTTCGCAGTTTACTTCAGATATTCAACACATCTCTGGAGCAAACAATGTAGTTGCAGACGCCTTATCTCGCATAACTTCCTTGAACAGTTTCCAAGGAATCGACCTTCTTAAACTCGCCGAGCTTCAAAAAGAAGACACTGATCTTCAGCACGAGTTATCGTCCACAACACTTAAACTACGCATCAAACAGATGGGAACAGGTAAGGAAACCTTACTTTGTGACACATCTACAGGTAGGGATCGCCCAATCGTGCCGAAACATTATCGACGCAATGTCTTCAATACATTGCACAAACTTTCTCATCCAGGCGTTCGTGCAACCATCAAGCTTATAGCAGAAAGGTTTTGCTGGCCTGGAATGAATAAAGACGTGAGGGAGTGGGCACGCTCCTGTGTAAGCTGCCAAAAATCTAAGGTTATCAGACACAATAAATGTCCCTTAGGCTCATTTAAAACTCCCGATGCTCGTTTCGACCATGTTCATCTGGATTTGGTAGGACCTTTACCAGATTCAAATGGATACTCTTACCTCTTAACCTGCGTAGACCGTTTCACTCGATGGCCAGAAGCAGTACCTATCAAGGACATCACTGCTGAAACAGTGGCCCGCACCTTCGTCGAACGATGGGTAGCAAACTTCGGTTGCCCTTCAACCATCACTACAGACCGCGGACGTCAGTTTGAATCTGAACTTTTCCGTCGTCTGACCACACTTTTAGGAATCACTCGCTTCCGAACGACCGCCTACCATCCACAAGCAAACGGGTTGGTAGAACGTTTTCACCGACAACTAAAAGCTTCACTATCAGCTGCAAACGTTTCACAGTGGACCGACGCTCTTCCACTTGTCTTATTAGGTATTCGCAATGCAGTGAAAGCTGACATTGGATACATTGCGGCTCAACTCGTCTATGGAACGACACTTCGACTTCCAGGAGAATTCGTGGATCCTTCATCCTCTTCAATGAACATGGATCTAACCTCCTACACGAACAGGCTTACAAACGCAATGCGTTCAGTTAAACCTGCTTCCACTCGACCTCAATCAACTGATGTTTTCGTTCAACCTGACTTACGATATAGTACACACGTTTTCGTTCGTCGAGACTCTCATCGACGACCATTCGAATCAGCATACGAAGGACCCTTCAAAGTTCTTCAACGTTAATCTAAGTACTATATAGTCGATAAGAACGGAACAAACGATAGCATCAGCATCGATCGCTTAAAAGCAGCGTATTTAGAAGGAAATCCAATTCACGTCGACTTTCCTTCGGTACAATCGCACAACGCGACTCCTACACTCATAATTCCTCAACCGACAACCAACACTAGCGATGATTCTCCGAATGTATCTGAAAATATACCTAAATCGGCACGTTCTGGAAGAAGAGTAAGATTTCCAGAACATTTAAACGACTACTGCACGTAAGACACTACTCGACATTTTATATTATCTCGATTTTTCTTTTTACGATATATAATATTTAAAAAAAATTTTCAATATGTCTATATATTTATATTGTTATTTTTTTAAAAAAAGCAAAAAGATATTTTTTTTAACGCTATAACGTGTACTTGAGTTTATTTTCCATTTTTTTCGCCGACATTGTGTTTTTACGCACATACGAGTGTATTTCGACATGCACTTACACTTTCTTTTTTCTTTTCCAGGACGGCTGGAAAAGAACGATGCAGTTTACGAGGAGTCGAAAATTTCGTTGCAACTTTTGTTTATTTTATTTTATTTATTTTATTATTAATGGCTTTATTCAATATTATATTTTGGTACAATATAGAATTCTCAGCACAGGGTATTTCAACAAGTTACTTACTATGTTGTACCTCGGTCCGATATAGTAAGGAAAGACGACCAGACACTGCTACACTTAGTAAGCTATCAGAAGAGTGTTTACCAACGACAAACTCGTTGGGTTTAAAATTCTGGCTGGCCACGTCTTAGGGTCGTCACTGACCCACTAGGGGTAAAGTGATCTGTATCGGTAAATAAATCCCCAAAATAAATAGCACTGTAGGTTTTCGACATTGGATGCTGACCATATGGTTTAGTGGACTCATCTAGCTGAAGGCGCTCGGTCAGGCATCCGCACCAGATCACGTGTGGTAACGCCGTGCTCAACATCAACCGCAATCGCTAGCCAGATTAGATCAGAGAATTCCGATATATTGGTCATCGCCAAAATAACTCTTCCGATCTCCTTCGACTCTGTCTTTTGATTTCTCTGGGCTGGAACGAAATATATTAGAAGGTGTTACTGGTAGAAGCGTTATCAAACACTGAATACCTGTGACATCATCACTGAAAAAACCCAAAGTGGTTTGTTCACAACACTTATGTACTTATAAGCTGTTTGTGAGTATTAATAATAATATCAGCAATAAACTTGAATGTAATAGCTGTATAATCACTTCAAACTATAGATGGAAGGTACTTCATTTAACCAACATCATTTCCATGAACGGAGACCAAGTGTCAGATAGAAGAGTTCTGTAGGTCATAACTGGTATTTTCTTTAATGTGCTGGATTAAAGCTAGTGGCTCTGTCTTCAGGAGGCCTCAGTTTAGGTATACAGTGAATTCGCTTACCAGCTTCTAGTTTATTTAGAACGAAAACATCAGTTACTAATTCAGGACTACGCCACACTACAACTAGTTCTATCTCTTAAGATTTCAATTCCAACTGGCATCGCAACAGATCGCGTAGCATTAAGCCATGTCCCAGTGTCTCTACAGCCCGAACCGTTGGGCGTTAGTCAAACATAATATGACACCAATACGTCGTAGTATCATTTGCTGAAGATTTCATCCTCAAGCAGAAGAAAATATGTCGGTCTGCCATAACAATGCTTTAACTGAGCCATTTAGCTTGTTAGGCGAACAAAGAAGGCAAAATGTGTCATCCAAGCCAAAAATAAGAATCTTAATGCTAAAAAAGTAAGCATTATCGCCAAGATTTGACCTGATATTTGCAAACAAATTTTTCAACTGGACAACTTTTGAATGATTAAAATGATGGTACATTTATAATGTCGCAGTGGGTGATAATTGAAGTTCCCCACTTTTTATAACTTAGTTTAAGTTGCTTCTTCATAACAAGTAGGCAAATTTGCTCGTCACTGTGGTATTGGACATTAAATTTCACAATTTTGAAAAACACTCTAGCTGGGGGAATTTCGATCGTAAGTTTAGGATGCTTCAGTGAAGCGATGCATGTCGAGAGTGAGTGGTACTGGTTAAGCCTATAGGCTTATAAGCCATGTATACCGGGCTTCTGCTCATGCACTTTTTAACTATGTTCCTTGTTGCAGGGCCACTTTAGTTGTTCAAATACCTATTAATCACATTGAATCAAAAACTAAAAAAATCCGCCAAAAATTAGTTGTGACTGTCCTAAAGTACGGACCCGAACGAACGATGATCGGAAAGTTATGGCGCAAACATAAAAGTAGGGCTAGGAATCGGTGTTAGAGGCTGATGTTAAGTTTCAATGTGTTCATCACACTGGGATCCTGGTCATACCCTTACCCTAACTCCTAGCATAATAATACATTCAGTTATGCCTTCCGTATATTGCTTAGCTAACGCAGTCTACGCTTCTAGGTCACTCGGCCGTGTACTTTAGACTTGTCTTACTTTGGAGTTTGACCCTAGCAGTTGTCATTACCTATATGAATTTATTTTGCATGACATTCAACTTGTTCATAATAAAATGATGTTGGATCTCTCAGGTTGTTGCTCTAAGGTGTCGCAACTCAATCGCTTTCCAAAAGTTTCCACGATTTATCAAGACACTTAGTTGAAATGTACTATTTTTTTAACAAGGTCCTTAGGTTCCACTTTTTGAGTCTTCATGACGTGTGTGGTTGTGGCAGACAGTGGGAATTGCAGTGTTTCACTAGTCGTAGCTCATACCAATGTTACTAAGTATTCCGGCACTCCCGTTATTCTGGAAATTGTGAAAATAATTACTATGACTTATCATAAATCTATGGCTTGATTAGACCAAGTGTGGAAACGAAAGTTATAATAAAGTTTGTGGAAGAGGTGGATAGATGGAAAGTTAGTTAAGTATTTCTCTAAATTCCCCCCATTATGTGTGATAAGTGTTGCAAACCTCAAGAATTCAGTCAGTAGTCAGTTACTTAAACCGCTGTAGCTCCTGCTATTTACAAGACGCGAATTCAAGGCTTTTTGAAAATAAGATAATGGGACATAGTAATCAACTAAACAACTTGGTTTTTCTTACCATTCAGTCACTTGTGACCAAATTGAACAAAAATGAGCTCATTATTGTGTCGGCTGACATCTTTCGAGCCACAAAACAGCTCTTCATACCTGCGATTATCAGTTACTTATGCATGTTTTGACGATCCAACCTTCAGCATTGAAATTCGAGAGTTTGGACGAGCTGTTTAAGGTAGTATAAGAGATGTACAAACTACAAACATCCTTAAAGCAGGCCGGAAAATGTTGTTGGTGAAACTATCATATTTCACCATACTTTTCACACCGAAGTGTCATGATGAGAGGCAAGAGTTTTCAGCAAATATCGTAATCTTGTCGCGATGGATTTTTCTAAAATCCTTGTCGACTATAGGAACGTATCATTTTATAAGGTCCATTCATGTATCTAACCCGAAATCGTTAAGTTTACAGATGTGCTCCGCGAAACAATCCAGTTTTTTAAAGTAATCCATTGTCTATTAGTTATCCAAAATCGTCCATCTTACATAACGGGTGGTTTTGCTGTATGTTGTCAACTTGTTCCTGGTTTTTGATGTTATTTCTGTTATTTTTGCTAATCCAGTGAATATATTTTCCATTATTTTGGTTCCAAAGTATACTGTTTGAGGTGTGTAAAGACTTAGACAAAGTTCTCCACTATCTCAAAGTTCTTACGTCTCTTTCAGTTTTGTCCCTTCTGCTTGCCTATCATGTTTATCTACATCTAAAAAATAAGGATGCATCCTATTTCATGATTTCTTTAACCAGCATTTGTTGTGTCTTCAGGTTGCTGGTTATGTCACAGTAATAGTTTGTCGGTACTATGATATCTGGAAAACTAAAGAACTTTCGCAAAACGATAGAAGACGTACGTGAAGGAAAGGATCATGCATTAGAGGCCATCCGTAAAGACCTGACTTCGATTCCTTACATCCCAGAGCTTGGTAACTTATTTTTTGGGTTTGCTGATTGCTTTTCTTAGCAAAGTTGGATCATTTACGTTCCCTAACTCTGTCTCACAATAAAATAACGGGTGCGTTAGTTTGTCCCATTAATTACCATTTGCTGTTCAGAAATACCTCAAGAGATATCAACTCTGCAAACTTTAGAACACCTGAATCTCTTTAATAATTGTATTATGGTAGGCACCAACGTTTACTATTAATGTGCTTTTTTAAAGGATATCTCTCCAAAGATTGTGGAGTTAACATATTTACGGTCTTTAAATCTTGGGTAGGTACTATTTTGTGTCATTTTTCTTAAAATTACGAGGATGAATAAGCTGTCTGTCTTACCTCGCGGTTTCGGTGCTTTCCCTTCCCTCGAAATTCTCGACTTGACATATAATAACTTAAAAGAAACTAGTTTACCTGATAATTTCTTCAACTTGGTAACACTTAGAGCTCTATACCTGTCAGACAATGATTTCGAACGCATTCCACCTGGCATTGGAAAGCTTTTGAATTTGGAAATAGTAAGGTTTAACATTTTAATTGAATCAACAAATTAGTTGGCTCTTCGTGACAATGACCTTGTGTCACTACCAGCAGAGATATGTTTACTTACCAGACTAAAGGAACTCCATCTTCAAAACAATCGCCTTGCTGTACTGCCTCCTGAATTAGGTAAGTCAGGTTTGTTAGTACTTTATTGTTACCGTCATTTACACTTGTTCACAAGACAAATACTCATGGCAGTTGTACGATAGTCAGTCAGTCAGTCAGCTACAACGTAGGACCAGGCACATATGCATCAGTCCAAGTTGCCATACCTCATTAACACAATGTACGATAGTTCACAGCATTGTTAAACTAACTGTTGATTATTTTTATTAAAAAAATCTTTTGATATATTAGGGCACTAAGGTATGGGGCTTAGACAATTATTAAGTCATCTGTCTGTTACTTATCTGATAAGTATACCGGAGATGCTTCCAAATTTCACTTCATGTATATGAAACACGGCTTGTGCTTAGCATTGTTTTTTCCCAAATATATTCTCTGTTTTATTGACCCACTACAGTTTTATTACAGGAGCTACCCATCTAAAGTTGTGAAATGATTTGGATGCTTCTTTATTTCTGCATTTTCGACTAATCTGAAGTTATTGGAAGGGTGTTTTTCCCATCACTTAATGTAGTTTCGTTTAGAAAGCCTTTAGTTGATTCTTAATTACAAATACAATGTAAGTGTATTTAGGTGACCGATTCAAAGTATTATTTAGTGTTATTCCATGAGACAAGTTGAAACAAGCGACATGGTAGAGTAGTCGAAGCGTTGGATAACATGGATCATCTTCACATTTAATTCGTCCAATTATGAAGTAGTAAATTTTTAGTGAAACTTTGTAACAGTGCTAGCTCGTGCACTAGGTCTCAAACCCGACCGTAGCTGCTACCCTGACGTGGTGGTCAGGCTTGCCTATCGTAAAGAACCAATCGAGCTATACTGGCTGGAACAATCACTCCTCAAGGTCCTACCACGCCAGACAGGTCGGTTGAAGAGCAGTAAGACTAAGAGCACCAAACCAAAGGTCCGAGGGCGAAGTCGTACTGCTGACTATACATAGGTGTGAAGGCAGTTAGGTGTTTCCTTCAGACAGACAGCATAACAGCGATGCTGCCTTCCCACAAGGAAGAGTGGGGTTGTAAAAGGTCGGCCCTAAAAATGCACACCTTACCTTATCTCACGGATTTCAGTCTCCGGCGGTAAGGCCCTTTGAAGAATGCAGCAAACACGTTAAAAACTTCCCACAAAAAAGCCGTGCGCGACTGGTCTCAAGTAGTTGTCCCTTGGGCTCTGCGGTCACGCGTCAGGTCGTTAAGACCAACACTAATTCAACTTCCTTTTCAGGCTCCTCAAGAAATACCCTTCCACGGTGTGGGCAGCCGGGAAGTGACACCAGCTGTCATACCCGTAACAGCACACGAGACCAAGTTGGTCACAACCAAATCCTTCCTACACCTAATAACTCTATAATCTCCACGACTAACCCTCCTCACGTTCCTTTGTCACCTCGCGCCGCTAATGCAGACGACTCGAGTACACGGAACGTTATTCCCGGCCTCCTGAAACCACACTCTGAACTACCTGTAGGAGCTTTTAATGTCCGAACACTGCCGAATAGGACAACAGGCTTCCTTAGCTAGCATCTTAGAATCTTGCCCCATCGATGTATGCTGCGTCTCCGAAACGCGCATACAGGATCCAAGTAGCGTCATTCATTTGATCTCACCATATCAAAATAAAGAACCATTTCGATTCACGCTTCGTATATCTGGAAGCCCTGATTTTGCTTCCCGTGGCCTCTCTGGTGTAGGTATAGCATTTATTCTTAGGGCAGAACTAGCTCTTTCAGACTGGATTCCAGTAGACAGTCTCTTGTGTGCTGTCCGACTAAACGGAACAGTAAGGTCTCGGAAAGATAGGAGCACTTTTCGTTGCCTTTTCGTCTTCTGTCTACTCTCCCACTGACTTTAGCTCAGATAAGATAAAAGATGAGTTTTAAAGAAAGCTTTCTGACCTCCTCCAAAAGTTAGACGCTCAGATGTAGTAGTAGTGGCTGGTGACTTAATGCTCAAGCAGGTAAACTAGGCGAAAAGGAAGGACACTTGGATGGATCTTATAGTGTTGTGGCTCAAAGAACAGATAATGGCGACCGTCTGTTACAGCTATGCTCAGATAACCGCCTGTTTCTAGAAAATACTGACTTTAAGCATAGGGGAAAACATCTTTTAACATGTCGACCCCCGAATTCGTCCCAACGTTAGACCTAACTAGATCACATTGTGTTATAAACTCTATTCTTACGGTTATGACCCAGCTATTCCTATTGCTTAGTATTCTCGGACACCGATTCACTCGACAAGTCCCCAAATCAGAACACGGTTGGACAGGAAGGAGATTATATTCCAAATAACAAGGTTAGATGGAAGTCAGAAGCACAATAGGGGAAAACGTCAGTATATTTAAGTTTTTTACCTGAGAAGATTCTAGAGTATTCTCCAACTATCGACTAGTGCTGATTGGATAAGAATTAGCCAATCAGCGTGCACCAAAGCAATCGTGCATTGAGCTTGCTTTAATCCAGTCTATGTTCCAATAACAACTCCGCCTGGAGTCCCTGCGGGGGCTACTGCCGGTCCCAAGCCCGGATAAAGGAGGAGGGTTGGGCATGGGGTTAGCGTCCCCATCCCGTAGAAAACTAACTCGCTAAAAAAACGCTAACCAGAAAAAATTATTCAAACCTTTTAAACTCTGCCCTGGGAGTCAGAAGATCTTCATTTAGAAGAATTATGACGCCTCATGATGAAAGCCGAATCCCTTCGGAAGTTACGAGGCCGATGCCCCTTCTGACAACTAGAGCGATCATTTATTTAGGTACATGGAATGTTCGTACAATGTGGGACACCGGAAGAGCCTTCCAGATTGCTGCAGAAATGAGAAGATACAACCTAGAGGTACTTGGGATCAGTGAAACACATTGGACACAAGTTGGACAACAACGACTAACTACAGGAGAGCTCCTGTTATACTCCGGCCATGATGAAGAAAATGCCACACATACACAAGGAGTTGCATTGATGCTGTCCAAACAAGCACAAAATGCACTTATAGGATGGGAATCTCATGGACCAAGGATCATCAAAGCCTCGTTTAAAACAAAGAAAGAGGGCATTTCAATGAACATCATCCAATGCTATGCGCCTACCAACGACTACAATGAAGACGCTAAAGATCAATTCTACAATAGGCTGCAGTCAATAGTCGAGAAGTGCCCAACAAAGGACCTGACCATTCTGATGGGAGATTTCAACGCCAAGGTTGGAACGGACAACACTGGATATGAAGACATCATGGGACGACACGGACTGGGAGAAAGAAACGAAAATGGTGAGAGATTTGCAAATCTATGTGCCTTCAATAAGCTGGTCATAGGCGGCACCAAAAGTATCGGCCATAAGTTATTTAAAAAACGATACTCCTGGAGTATACTTTAACTGAAATTAATTAAATTAAAGAGAAAACAGTAGCCTTGATGCACAATAAACGATCAAAATAAAATTAACTCAGCGAGGGAAAATACCACTGTTCTTTTATATAGTGCGTGGTATTATTAATGCAACATTAAGACAGAAAAAATCATGCTTACTGTAATCACGAAACATTAATATGTGTGAAGTGGGTTAGTTCAGAATTGGGCACAAACCAACGGTTTGAAAAATTGCTGGATCTTTTCCGAGCAACTAACGACTGTATGTAACAACCTTCAACACTCAATCTCACCTAATTGAATGTGCAAAATGAGATATCTTTTATTCCCCGTTTCAAGAGCTTTAAATGGTAAAGGGTAGTCTGAGACACACATTTTTGTCGTGGTGTCGAAAACGTAATGAGAATAAGTTGGACACTATTTGGATGAAAGCTTGTGAAAAATAGTCTCAAGTTGTGATATTATAGAGATTCATAAATCCCCCAGAAAAATAGTTTTATAAGACTATGTTATTTATTTTGATCTCACTAATTTTACTGAATGCACCCTAGCTGAAGGTGCTCGGCAACTCATCCTCACTAGGTCACCATCGGGTATGCAGTGCTACGCAACAACTAGCCAGCTTAGTTCACATATTTCCAGACATACCGACTATCTTCGAAAGATGTTTTTGAACTCCTTCAACTGTACAGGCGTTACGGACGAATGAGTTGTCAAACCCTGAAAATCCATGGCATCGTGCTATACCATTTCAGATTCCTACTCTATGTTGATGAGTTTCTGAAGAGATCTAGATCGTCAACACTTACATTCACATCATGCAGCTGTTTAGAGAATAATATCCGGTGATGTTTATGAGTTTCAGCATAATGTTAATTGTTAATTATTGAAGTGGTTGACTGGTGCTAGAAATCAATTTTAGATAGAGATATGTTGATCCACATTAGTCATCGCGTTAATATCACAAATACATCATTAGTGATGCAGTCCTATCACATAATTCTGAATTGTAGAGATAGACTCTACCAAGCAGGTTGTAACTGCAGTCACAGAAACTTGGCCGACTCCGTCTGTAGACAGTAGGGAACTTGACTTTTAAAGTTTCACTGGCTGTTATATCAGTTAGGTAATAATGTGGATAAAAGACTTCCTGGTTGGGCGCCAACAAAGCGTGCGTAGGAACTCAAATATGTCTAGCCGGAAAACTGTGTCGCAGGGTACAGTTTTCAGGCCAATGTTATTCCTTTTGTACCTTTGTCGTCTAATATCATCATCGGCCCTGCTATATATTGACAATGTCAGGATATAAAAAGAGAGAGATAAGAAGTAAATGTGATAGCTTATAACTCAAAATGACATGGAGAAATTATCTGAATGGCCTAAAATTTGGCAGTTGCCGGTCAATGATTTCAAGTGCATTGTGATGCATGTTGGTCATCAAAGTACATATACATACACGGTGAATAACAGTGAGCTACCTGTTTTCCAGATACAGAACGCCTTAGGAGTCATCGGCGT